ACATCACCACTATAGGAGTCCCTCATTTTGATGTACCAAATCGTGTTTTTGTTTGGCACCTTTGCCTATGAGGAGCCAAAGCTGGATGAAGAGGCTGGTGAGAGAACCGCGCTGCTTAGCGGGGGCATCACCGGCTTCGCTTGCTGCTCCTATGTCCGAAGCTCGGCCGTCTGTGTTTCCAGATCCATCCGAACTAGCTTGGCGACGACGCCGTCCGTTGCGAATTTTGGGCCATCCCAAAAGGGCGCCAACTAATTTTGGCTTTGATTTGGATGCATCAAGAATCAGTAGCCAATTTGTGTCATATCCGTCCCCTTGGCTTCCGAAGAAGGCGACTAGTGAAGGGTCAAGCATTTTTGTTGACCCCAAGCCATCTTTTTGGGAGTATGGGCGGGAAATTGTATACCTCATTTGAGAGGGAAAGCACCTGAGCAGCGCCTAGAACGCCTATTGGCCATTTCAGTAGGTGGTTCTGCTGCCTGCATGGTTTATAACCATCTTAGCAGAACCCAAAGTCAATAGGTTTTCAGCTCACCTGGTGCTAGTTTCTGGGTGTCCCCATGGTGAAGGCATCCCTTGGGATTGCCTGGGCCGGCGTTGAGAGGAAGACATCTCGAAACGGGCCGCAGAGATGGCCAGCGCGAGACTTCCGGAAGCCAACCAGTCGGGTGATGCATCCATTTGAGTCTCAAAGCAGGGGAACCTGCAGATGAGAACTGCGATTTTCTCCTGGAAATTGCCCCTCACACCTATCCTGAAAACAAGACTCACCCATCTTCATGAGTTTTTTCCACCTCCCAGTCAATTGTCGAGAAAGGAGACCTGGCTTTCAGGATGAAAATGGGTGGGAGTTTGTTGGGAAGATCCGGATTGGTCAGGAAGCACCCAGCTTTGGTGTTCGTTTAATATCCAAGGCTCAGACGGCTTACCGCCCAACCGAGGACGACTGGAGCGACACTTCGGGTGGCGGCTTCTGATTCTGCTCTGCGCCGCGCAGCATCTCATGAACCTTTGGTGCATTTTGCCAAGGGATGTTAGGACTGAATAACTTTTTGCCAACGAATGCTAGGCCCCCCAGTAGTGCCCTTTTACCCTTTTTTGGGGGAGGGTTCCCCTACTAAAACTGACTATAGCAAAAATGGTACCCCTATTCTAACCTCTCTACTGGAGGACCTAGAATGGGTTTTCCGTACTAAACCACCAAAAGTCAAAAACTGTTAGCAGGGGAGCAGAAAGCAACCGAGGAAAGGCTTCGCCAACACCTTAGTGGGCAAGGCTGTGCCCTACCTCTTCAGGCGAGCCTGCGAGTATATGGGGATGCCTCGTGGGGGGAATGCCATGGGAACAAAAACAAAACCCGGGTGGATGAATCAAGGGTGAAAATGAGGTTCTATTTACCGGATTTCCGTTCATGATACTTGTTTTTGCCCCACAAGTGGAAGGGTCAAACATGAAGCCACCAGGATATTGGACCGCAGGTTTTAGTTGTTGCTTGGTTCCATTTACCAGGGCAAGCCATTGTGAACACCTATGTTTGACCCACAGCCAGGCGCAAGGTTTGTCTTTTCACGAGTCAGGACCAAGGGCCTGAGGCCATCGGAGTTCCCAGCCGGAGGGAGTCCCGGTCCCTATTTGCCGAATCGGGAGCCCTGGTTTGGTTAGTGTTTACTAGAGGCTTTGGTAACGGAAGCACAACCATGGACCCGCATGGCCGAAAAGGATGCCCAGCCTCACATGCTAAGCCGAGGTTTCCGCTTTGAAGTGATACGGTAGTCACAAGACGAGACACCCCCCCCTTTGGTAGCACCCTGTTCGGGTGATTTTCCACAACCACGGTTCTGGCCTTGCGAGAGTCTTAAAATGTCCCTGGAATCAAGAATTGTCTTGCAGTATGCCAATTATTTCAGCAGCACAAGGAGGGAGTTTCCTGGGCCTGTCAAGATGTTGAGTGGGGGGTTAATCATGTCAAATCTTGATGATAGCGCAAAGTTGTTTGGACAACACGGGCGAAATAGAGAGTCTCGTGGAGGGATGCGTGAGACAGTGGGGTCTCAACAGGAGATATTCGGCATGCAACGATCCATCGCAACCTTCCGTGAGTTGAACTTGATTATTCCGAGACCAATCCTGTGAGGAAACGTTGGGGTGGAAATCCATGGCGAAGCTGCGAGAGTGACCATGGCTGCTGTTCTTGCAGTTTCCCTTTAGACCGGCAAAAAAAAACGGGAATATACGGCTTATTTGTCACATACACCGTAGATGTATTATATGGGTGTGGCTCAAAAGTAAACAGGAGGGGCCAACCGCAGGTTTTGGTACCCATGTTTCCACTTACCAGGGCAAGCCATTTTGGACTTCCGGTTTTTTGAATTCGCCACAGCCATATGAGCGACTAACTTTATTTACCTTAATGGAAACATGCAAGGGGCTGGAACTATTTTTTGGAAATGTGCATATTTAGCCGCAGAACGAGTTGGGGAACACCCCGAAAACGAGATAG